AAATGGATGTGCAAATACAGGTAGTTTTTACACTGGTGTGGAGGAATTGCCGCTGGTGCAGGGTTTCCTTCAGGAAACGGGTCCTGGAGAAGTGCGGCCCTTTGTAACCCTCCAAACATGTGTTCATCTGGTGACTATCAAACTGACGGCTGATGTCTGACCTGTTGCAGCACTGATTGTGTATGAATAAACATCATGTCTCTACGTTCCTCAACTTGTAAAAACTCAAAGGTTTCTGTTGACTGTGAATTAGTGATTCTTTAATTTTGACAAACTGATGAATCGGATTATTATATCACACACTAGGCTGGCTGATGAAGCTCATTTTTACGATGCGTTTGTCTAATCTTTATTTTAGTACTACTTCATGCACATGTTTGGTCATTTATATACTACAAAGGACGCTGGTGTGGTCTGGTGCTGCAGAACATAACATTTAGTGCCAGTCCATTTGGCACCAGGATAAAATGGTGATATACTTAATTGTTCCAGAGTTCAGCATTTCACTGTTGAGCCAAGAGGACATTGCCTCAGTTTCCCCCTGCCCAGGAAACTGTTTTGCCAAAGCAGTGATCAGCATACAGGTAAATTCATTTTCTATGATGATAGTGAAGTTGGAGGTGGTCAACCTCCACTATAAACTTTTAACCTTTGTTATTACATTCATTAATTTGCTGCACTGATGAGTGTGATTGTGACAAAAATCTAAAGTTAATCAACAAGCCATGATCCTAAATATGTACAATGGTCATTTCCTCTCATCTTACACCCAAAACCTGCAGCAGCAGACTGAAATTTGACCTCCTACCTGGACTTCATGCCCGGCTTGACCTCAACCACCTTGTCTGAGACATGGACCACACGGACTGTGACCTCGCCAGACTCAGGGTGGTTCTGCCGCTTGAGGTAGTCGTTCACTCTTATCTCCAAAAAGTTCCCCAACTTGGTCTGAGGAAGCCCTGCAAAAGACAGTAAAAAGGATGAAGAGAGAGAGGTGGAATACAGACCAGAACTGTACGTGATCATGCTCACTTTTACTACCCTCAAAGTTCTCAACAGCTGAGGGACATAACCTCTCTCCGACTACATACAGCACATAAGGACATTTTCCTCTTTATCTTTGACAATTTAGAATTTTTTGACTGGAACATATCCAGGTAAAAAGAAAATGAAAGTATGCGTAGAATAATGCAGTGAAATCAATGTTTGGTAACACTCATGTTTTGGAGCAAGATATTTTTAACAAAGTTGCACTGAAGACAAATGATGAATGTAATCCTCATTAACACTACCTGTAATCAATTCCAAATATTATACAAACTTGGCTAAGGCCGCTCCACTCATACATTCAACAGCCACCTTTTTGTTTGTCTGAGCACTCAGTGTTGATGATAATATAACATAAAAGGGTTA